AATAATAATAATAATAATAATAATAATAATAATAATAATAATAATAATAATAATAAAGAATCAAAGGAATATCTTCAATACAATAAATAAATAAATTTTTGTTTCTTATCATCGATCACTAACGTATTTTATTCAAACTCGAGGCGTCAGACTTAAAGCCAGCTAACTGATTGGTTTTTCTTTCCTTCGGGCGCTTTCACTACATCAAATACCGTTCAATTCTATGTTTGACCCTTACCTTTCTTCACTGAAACTTGCCGAGCTATGATCATCTCAAAAATTACAAGATGAGTTATTTTAAAGGTGGTTGTATCGTTTCTTGACCAGTTTTTAACATCAAAATGCAAGAACAAACAAATATATATTTTTTGCATCGATAAAGAGTTAATGAATGATTAATTGCACAAGACAACACCTTAGGTGATAGAAAAAATTATTGCATGCGGTAAATATTAATTTTTGTCCAAATTGTCAGCCTAGTATCTAATCTCATCTCTGAAGCTTGACTAAATGTCGCCACTATGCGCTGAAATTTAATATTTACTTTTGTTATAAAACGTGTCAATATTAATTTCATATTCAGGATTATTGAAGAATGTGAATTTTTTCTTTCTGCTACAAGAGAATGTTCTTGCAAAAGAGCAGCTTATTTTTAGTTTTAGAGTCATTTAGTTATTGAAGCCTTAAGTTTTAATTCCACAGTTAAGGGGTTTTTTGTTAAGTAATAAATAACCATTGATTCTATTATTGAGGGTCTTCTCTGGAGTAAACAACGCGCGCGTGAAACCCTCTACAGAACAAAAGAAATGTATCGTGTTTTTTTCCTGAACCTACGTTTTGTAGTAAAGGAATCGGAGTTTTCATAGATTAGCTAAAAATCAGTCAATATGAATGAAAAAATCAACTTTACAGGAGGTAAAAGTAGACTCTACTCAAAGGTTAACTGAAGGAAAATTGTATTTGAAATAAAAGATGGAAAATTGAAAGCAAAAACATGACTATTTTTCAAAATTCTAGACGATTCTAGCCTAAGTTTAGCGAAGAATAAACTACCTGTCGTATTAGTCAAGGGTTAGTGTTTTTTTATATATATACCTGTAAGGCCTGGCTTCGTCGTGGACAGTTTCTTTGCAGCTGGTACTTGCTTTAGTTTTTGAATGAGCCGACTTCCTTCGTTGCTACAGGCCTCTTTAGTCGCTCTATTGTCTAATCAAAAATATAGACATTTTAAAAATCGTGTTTTCTTATTAACCTTTGTGTTTTCTTACTGATATATAAATTTAAACGGTCTCCTGAAACTATATTTTTCACGTCGGGTTTTGAAGGTCATTAAGAGCTGCTTTGGGAGATCACCAGCTGTGCTGTTCTAGTTGAACACTTTTCCAAATTACTATCGCTTGCTAGGGTTCTGCTTCGTGTTCTCAAAACAACTTAGTCTGACACTTTTAAAATGAATTTAATTTCCATTTTAAACGTTGTCTTGCAGCTATAATTTTTATTATTCTTGCAACTAATTATTCGGTATCGATTCTATCGATTTAATAATCTCAGTTTAATCATTCAGTATTATCTGTGTTCCTGCTATAAAAACGGTAAGACATTAGAAAATACAGCCGGCAGTCACACACAAATTTCCATCCGCTATAAACGTGAAACCATTAAACTCTGTTGAAGGCGAAATTGTGTCGTTATGGTTATTTCAGTTGTGTAATAATGACAGTAAAAATGTTTGTTTTGGTCGTAAAGATATGAAATTCATTTAGGTGTGGCTTAAAAACCAATAAAGTGGTATCAAAGGTTTATTGATTTCAAAACCTCATGAAGACCTTGCAATTAAAATTTTGAACTGAATTTTATAAAATCGAAAAATGACGTCTTTTATTTCATTCATTCTCGTCTAAAGATGTAAGAAAACTCTTTTAACTCGATGTTATAGCTGTTTGATTGTTGGCAATTTAAAGTTTATTAAACAAAGATAGCGTTTCATTTTTTAATTTCACAGCTTTAAGCAAACCGCACAGTTTTTTGTTTAAGTTATGATGATATAAATTTTATCTCAATCTCTATCTTAATTTCCAAAGCTTTTCTTCAATGGAAATAATTGATACTCAAACGAATAAAATGTAGTTAGAAGGGATAATTGAAGGAATGCAAAGGATTTTATCATTTTAAGAATGATAAGAGTGTCAGTCATATAATAACTATATAGCAGTGTGAACTGACCACGAAATAATTGAGTTTTGTGAGCTTTTTCTTTATGAAATTATGTAAAAATATTCGTTCTTTAATCCATACCATTTTTATAACTTACTTGTCTGTTTTTCCTCTAATTTGAAAGTATTATTTATATTATTATTATTGCTATTAATATCATTATTATTATTATTGCATTTATTATTATTATTATTATTATTATTATTATTATTGCTATTATTATTATCATCACATGGCTTAGAACACTTCTGTCTTTCGAAAT